AAAGATGGCAAACTGATGGCGGCGAAGGGCTGTCTGCTGATGCTGCGGCGCTTTTGGATAGCCTGTACCCCTCAGCCGTTCCGAGATCACCATGGACAAGCACTACATGCTCTGATATGTCTACTATGTCTTCATCTGCCTCCGTGGCCTCGGGGTCTCCGATCCCTGCCTGTTTGAGCAAGTCCGCGATCGCCTGGATGTTGCCGTCGACCTTTGACTGATTTATATCCATGCACCGAACGGGGTGGTAGGTGAGCTTTACAACAGGGATCTGTTCGACGGCTTCTGGGTTGGGTAACAAAGGAATGAATTGTCGGAAATATTCTGGGCCATGTCGGAAGAGTGCGTCGAGAAAAAGCCATGCTGTGAAGCGGGCGCTACGGGACAAACCCGATGGATGTGGAGGATCGGGATGGAGTGTCAGGAGGTTCTCGTACGAATATCGTGGCGGCAGGTTTGGGCTGTAGAGGACACTCGGATTGAGCCACGACGTCTCCCATAGCCTACGTGAGCAGCGTAGGTCGTCAGGCTGGACACCATGCTCGAGCTTGATGATGAGCCCTGATGTAAGGTGGACAAGACGATCCCCCGATTTCTCGATGGTAGGTGTCATGGTTCTGAGTGTCAGCTCACAGTTGTCGTATGCGAGCATCGCGCGGAGGGACTGCCCGAGCTGGCGAACATTTCTCGCACTCTCTCGGGACAGCGAGTGAACGGCATTATTGATCGAAGACGGCGAGATTGAGATGCCCATGTGAGTGAGTGCCTTGATGACCTTGTCTGGTGTATTGCAGGAATGGAAGAAGATCGCGTTTACGGCAGCGAACACGTTGCATTGTTGGTTGAGCGAGTGCATGATTACAGACAGTATAACTACTGTCTTCTGCGGAAGGCAAAGTTGATTAGGACGAGAGTAAGAGCATGTGCACTCGCAATCTGGCTCACTAGATGACATAAGGCTCGCTGCAATTTCAATCGAGCATCCTTCGCAGGAGCTGAGGGATCGGCGCCTTCTCGAACATCGCCTCCGCCGAGCTCTTGAAGCTCCCGCCACAACTCCAGCTCATCCGGACTGAGAGTTTGATCCTCGGAATCTCCCTCCGCTAGGCCGGTCCAGAGCTCTCGGCCTGACAAGAGGAACACAATGAGTTCCCATAGTTCGGGAGCCAGGGACCGCATTCGTGCAGCCATGTCCTCAATGCGGAAATCAAGGACTTGTTCGGCTTTCATGTGCACGGCACCGAGATGCCATCCGTTGTCCTTGTCCGTCAGCTCGCGCGCGACACGATGGTAATGTGCTTTCATTTCTTGATGCGCCCAACGCCGTGTCACGGCAGACGTCCGAGTATTCCGCGCAGACGCCGCGAGAATAAGGCCAAGATTGGCATTGAGACCTTCGAAGAAGGTGAACCCGGCGAAGGTCTTGTCATCGAGTGATTCCAGAACGAGCTCAGACAGTGACACACGAGCTTCAAGGAGAGCTTTTCGAATGAACTGGATTTGCGCGAGAGATATCATCGCCCGGGACGTACAAAACGCACTCGTCCGTTGTACATATGCAGTGCACGCGTTCGCGCAATTGAACATCGCTCGAGGCGCAGGTAATTACATAATCTCGGTCATTGATCGACTCGCCAAATTGGGGGGTATGCAGCCGGGGCTCCGTTTGTTTGTATATGTTTTGTGCCAGCCGCCAGAGGGGGGTAAAGGGGAATAAGATTACGGAGATTCAGGATCGGGCGGGGATAGAAATATTTGATGGGATGTGGCTGAGGTGTGGCGGGTCAGGATAGGGACACAAAACATGAATTGCGGTCTCGAAATTCATCCCCTCTACCCCCCGAAGGCGGATGGGGAGGAGCCTGTGGTTTGACAATCTTGTTCAGTAGTCTAGTAAATCAGTAAAGGTATAGGTGAACCGTACGACGTGTGGGCCACCGTGACCTACATCGCGGAATCTGCACGGCGGTGTTACTCCCAGGTACATCTTATCGACGAGCGGAAGCCCAATCGACGATCATAAGCCCTGATTAGGCAATGCTAGTTTACTATCACTACGGTCGCCCCTGCCCCGCCTCACGACAGTCTGTTAGTTCCCGGGTGCGCGATCAACAACTTGACCTCTGCTGGCTCGTTCTTTGTCTGGCTGTGCTATACTGGACCACAGATTGTCCGTTTTCTGCCAGTAGGTTTCGCTAGTAAGTACTCTGCCATCAGGTTGTGAAACGGCTGCCGGGACTTTGACAGACCTATGGTGACGGTGACTCAACCTGCAATGGACATGCCGAGCTTGTCATGCCAGGAAGAAAGACAGCGGGGATTTTGCGCAAGACTGCTGACAGTCTACCCTAAACGCAGTCCCAACTCCGACAGTGGGTGTTTTAAGTCACGGTAAGTTGACTCGCTGGCACTCACCTCTGCTCTGCACACGCCGTTTCCCGCACTGACATGCATATTCATTGGCCGTCCGTGTCTACTATGTACAGCACTCCGTCCCCACCCTCGTGTCCTGCACGTCCGCCGCCCTGCACAGCTCATTCCCTCGACGGCCGCGAGCAACGTGCATGGCCCTCGACGTCCTGCGTCGCAGGCAGAACCGCATACCTACAAGGCGCGTAAGCACTTCACTATTATTCCCCGCCATCCTCGACCTCCGACGCGCCGTCCACCCTCTCTGATGCTACCGAGCCTGTCGCTCCCCGGTCACTTGACCGGTGGCCTGCAGTGCTCGCGGCAGCAGCCCAACGTGGACGGTGTGTCGCAATGCGCTGCGTCCACGCTAGTGCGCGTCACACGAGTTGTTGGCTGGTCCACATCTCTCGCAAAACCCGTCGGCCCTCGCTGGACGGCAACGACGTCTCCTGCATGCAGACACCGTCGTGTGCTGGATAGCCAACGTCGTCTCTGCTTCAACGTTCTACACATGGGTCACATATTCTCATTTGTTTACATTCGCTCACTCACATTGCCCAGCACGATGCCGACGCTAGGCAACCACTTGCGAACCTCACCCCGGATTCGCCCTTGATCAGCGTGTCGCGCTCATTTGCTCGCCGAGTCGCCGTCGCCAGCACTCTCGCTCCCTGCCCGCACTCTCGCTCGCTCAGCTGCTCGCCCCGTTCGCCTGCTTACGTCATCCACCCACCCACTCGCTCGCGCCCAGCTGTCCGCCAGCCGGTGACACCTGCCGGTGCGCACATCCTTCCATGTACTTCAGAGGCTGTCTCTCGCTCGCGCTTTCTCTCGCGCTCGGCGGCGCTCGCACCCACTCGCCCGCTCGGCTGCCCACCTATTCGGCGGAAACAGCCTCCGAGTCGCTGGCGACTTCAAGCACCGTGACGGCACCCATGGCTGCACTTGGGCCTTGGCTCAGCAATACCGATGCTGGCGGCTCCTTATCCACTGGCGGGTCAGGCATAGGGTGTGATCGTCCGAGTTCGTGTTGTATACTAGTACTAGTAAGTTAGGATATGTAGTCGTCACTAGCCGAATACATTGCGATTCGATCCTCATCTATTCCGGGCGATACGAGCGCCAAGTGCGGCCAAATGAGGAGTGCAATGTCGCATCAACAGCAGACTATTGGGCTAACACTAGACTGCTCAAGTTATAATAACCCTGTTTTATTACTTACTAGCCTTGCATATCCTAACGAACGATGGTCGGGCATTGTACTTCTGACGGAAGTTGATCAGCGACTCTCGGCCTTTTGATTGTCTAACAGCCTGTTGTAGTATGACCGAATATCTACTGGCGAAAACCCACCTATTCCGGCCACATCATCAGTCTGTTAGTTCTGTTAGTTCTGTTAATCGATGCTTTGGCCATGTCAGGTCGCCGTCGGTCTGATGCCAATTTTGCGATGTAGGACTGGGCCGACTGGCAGCGCTTAGCGCTCAGCACGGTACGTACCGAACTTTCCCACGTACATATACTCCGGCCGCATCGCTCAGACTGCTTCAACAGTATCTTGACTTGTGCGTTGCGCTCTCGCTTTCTTTTCATGTGCTTAACGCATCGGACGGGAGGCTATGCTATCTGAGTCGCGGTGTGGCCGACATTTCCACTCTTGCCTCGACTCGAGTCCGCTGCCAGTGGCATGGGCCCCTACTAAGTATTGCCGCACATGCACACATTATGATTGAACACCCAACTTGAAGCCGCGTATTCACTGTCGGTGGCTTGTGCACCACCGATAACCTCGGGTCCAGACGTGCTTGTGATACAGGCGAGCGAGCACACGGATGAATGGTGGGTTGGTTTCCTCAGCCCATCGAGTCCGTCGCGTCATGTCCGAAGCCTGTCCACCACACTTGAACGTTTGAACCTCAAGCGCCGGGTGGTGGACATTCGGTCCACCAGCCAAATCACGATGTCAGATGGTTGGTGAGGACCAGAAAGCAAGTGAAAATCGCTCTTAGGATACCCAATCAAGCTGGGTTTGATGCATATTGGGAGCCACTTCAGTCAACACACTAGTTACGACTGACTTTGAGGTCAGGCCCAACTAGTTACAGGCTGAGTTATATGTGACTTCTTGAACTGATGTATGTGTAACTAAAGGCACATGGTGACTTATAGATTGACTTGTAGACAGTGACTAGTAACATGTTGACATTCATGTCCCAACTTATTGGAATGACCTTTACAACACTACCTAGTTTGGCTGACTCTTTCGGGGACTTAGGCAAGGCCGACTTTTCACGATTGATATATAAGTTATGCATTGCGACCACAACAACCAAACTATATGTTAAGACTAAAGCAGAAGACTTTTCTAGCTGACCCATTAGACATGACTTCGACCGACCTATTAGACATGACTTCAACGACTGACTTATTAGACGCGACTACTAATGACGACCGACTTATTGAACTGAACTACAGACAAGAGATAGAGAACAGTAAGAGAATAGGGAAGATCAAAAACAAAGAAACAGAAGCTGCCAGGCTCCGAGAACACTACAAGTACAAGTTGATGATCCACAACAGCGAGCGCATCATTTACCTTGTCGGCGTCGTTCTTCTTCCCAAGCACGACGGCCAATGTTGTATTTGTGGATCAAAGAGTGCCGCTTATCCCAGACACTCTCGAGATCCGGCCACTCCAGTGGACCGTCTACGATATCCTCGTCTACAAAATAGTCAGTGAATTGTGTTTGTTCGAACATCCATTGAGGACATACTTGATATGGTATCAACCCCAAGTAGATCCCGCACTCCCCACTTGACCCACACGACGTAGTCCCCGCCCCGCAGACAGAACGGAACATTGACGAGGCTCTCGACATGCGTGAACCACCACCGCTGTCGGGGACTCAACCACACTGCGATGGCGTCAGTGAGTTCGAGCCCCCACTCTGTAAAGATACAAGTGAACGAGTCTCGCGAGTATTTGTTGAAGTACTCGTCGGAAGGTAGCACCCCGTCCTGGACGACCTATTGTAAGTCCAGGGAACACGAAAAGATCAGTACACGTACCTCGGTGTATCCCCATACATGGATGAATTCCTCCTGGCCTTGGCTTTCGGGAGAGTTCTCGCGCGACACGTCTGACGACTCAGGCGCCTCGGAAGCGTCATGCTTCGACGACGTGCCGATGGATTTGTCCACCTGAGAACTTGCACTCGACGCTGACGGCACGCCTGTAGCCACACCCGAGGACGACGACACAGCAGCAGATCGCGCGCTTTGCGAGACCTTGGAAGGCGCGCCACGATCCTCCGTCGCATCCTCGGTCAGGTCGATCACGTCCGAGTCGTCTAGGTGGATTCGGCGTCGCTTGATACCACGCGCGGTGTGGTCCCTCGCAGTCAAAATAACGGGCTTGTCCACACGTGGACTCGCATTCGACGCTGACGGCCCGCCTGTGGCCGCCCGCGACCACGACGACGCAGCAGCAGACCGTGCGCTTTGCGAGACCTGGGAAGGCGCCCCAGGATGCTCCGGTGCATCCTCGGTCAGGTCGATCACGTCTGAGTCATCTAGCTGCGCCCGGCGTCGCTTGGTACCACGCGCGTCGACGTCCTTTCCATCCAAAGTAAGGTCGATAACCTCGGGGGGGTTCCTGTGGCCCCTGGGTGTGCCGCGAGCGCCACGAACGGGCTATAATTCAATACCTTCTGTCAGCATACACCGAGAGCCCGAAGAACACTGAGTACTCACAAAGTTGCCGCGTGCAGCGCGTGAATAATGCGCTAACCGTCGGGGGGCCAGAGAGGATTGTCGGAGCGGTGACGACGACGGTGCAGGCGACGACGATGGCAGTTCGTGCCCTGAAGGGGGATCGCGTTCAGGTGGAATACTGGACAGAAGGCTGGGCAACCGATGGCCCAACTCATTCCAATACTGTTGAGAGTCGTCGGACTTGTCAGAGTCGTATGGCTTTGCACGCGCTGCTGTCCCCAGGGCGCCGTTCGGCGTCCGAGAGGATGAGGCGGCGACGTTGTTTGGCGTCCGGGAGGATGAGGCGGCGACACTGTTTGGCAGCTGTCGGAGTGGCGCATTGTATGTGGGTGATGCCGCCTGCGAGGGTCCGTCCCGTTGCTGACGGAATAGCCGGCTTTCCTCCTCCAGCTGTGTCCGTTCGCCGTCCAGTGCCGCTTTCTGGCCAGTGAGGTTTTCTTTCCCCGCATGCTTCTCTTCCCCGATACGGTCAGGTCGGTTCCGCGCTCTGTCAAGAGCTTTATCCACCTCTTTCAGGCGGGTAAGCACGTCACGCATGCGCTTGATCAGCTTGTGCTCGCCGGGGCCAAGACGGCCACTGAGGTAGCGGAACTTTGGCCTGTTCGGGGTACCACACTGCGCACACTGCTTCACCAGTCAACATCGCGTCGAAGAGAAGGATTGAAGTGACTTGCCCTTGTGTAAATGCGCCCCACGTTCTCATCGTCGGTGAGATATTGTAGCTGCTTCGCTGGATGATGGTCACACTCCAGTGTGTCTTCATCGCGGCATAGCTGGCGAACGAACTCCTTGAACGGCGCAAGAACGGGATCGTTCGTGTCCTTGGTCTTGGATGGTGTGCCAGGAGAGAACAAAGTGTTCATCCTGCCTATCCTTGACGAGGCACCCTCATTGCGGCGCAGGGGGGATGACATGAGAGGCGGGGCTTAAAAGGTAGACAAGACTCGCGTGAAGCGGGGCCATGCGCACCTTTATACAGTCCTTGCGCTATTGTTCATAATCCGAGTGGCCAGGAACAGCGATCGGTGGCGTGATGAGCGAAGCAGGGGTCAAAGCGTGGTCCATGGACAAAGCGGAGGCTACAATGACTGCTCTTGGCCACTCGGCTACGTTGGGCCGGGTTAAAGTCTTAGCAAGTTCAAGAGAGCCTATACATCTCCATGTCGTGGCATGCGGCAATAAGTGGCATCGGTACGAACCCAAAACTATCTACGCAACATTACATGCACGACACCGCAGCACAAAGTCCCTTCCTCGAGCTACCTACTTACCTTTGCGATTCAGGTCAGCATAGTTCGTCACGGTCCTGCAGACTGTGTTAGCAATACTTTGACAGACAAGGAACATCACTGACCTTGCCCGCTTTGAACGACTGGAACCCGTCGTCGAAGGCTCGGGGAGTGGCGGTTCCTCTGTATCGCGTGTCTTCCTCTTGGTTCCTGCCGTTGTCGCTCCTTCTGGCGCCGCAGACTTGCGGGCCCGGCCGGGTTTCTTCCGGCTTGAATTGCGGCCAGAGGTCTTCTTCCGAGCATTGATGCTACTCAAGGCGTCTCCGTCACCGACGTCTGGCTCCTCGTGTGCGTCACCAGCACCAGCTTGTGTATCCTGAGCGGGTTCACGGCTGCCTTCATTGACGCCTGAGCTCTCTTCAGCGCCCTCGCCATTGGTCGCTGCATCCGCAGCGTTGCGTTCACTCCGGCTCGTCTCGACCGCGGTTTCCGGCATGTGGCCCTGCGCGTTGACGAGACTGGAGTGCTGCGGCGACTGCGGAGCGATGGAGGGATCGTCCATGTTGAGAGTCGACTGGCGAGTACGATCCTCTGCATTCGCCTCGTGACCGCCCTGGCGTACGCCATCTGGGTGCGAGGGCTCGCGTATAGCGTCGGGAATTGATTCCTCCTGCGCAAGCTCGGCGGAAATACGATGCACCTCGTTCGACGGGTCGGGTTCAGTCGCAGGCGCAACGGAGGCGGGCTGCACGTTGGCCACTTCATCGGGCAGGCGGGCAGGTGCCTGTACATCACGCTCAGCGCCGACATGATTCACGTCGTTCGAGTGCGCCACATCGGCAGCGGCGATAGCCGGCACAGCGTCAAGCTCGGAGGCGTCAGCGGGGGTACTTGCAGTCGAATTCGCCACTTCGGGAGCGACGCTAGCTGGGACAGCGTCAAGCTCAGACGCCTCTGAGATATTCGCCTCGGGGGCGGCAATGGCTGGGACGGCTTCGACGCCGGACGCGTGATCCTGTACACTCGCAAGTGCTTGCGAATGTGGGACATCGTCAGCCGGGGCCTCGGAAGGCTCGATCAATGGGGGGACTGTGCTCCCTGAAGCAGCGGGTTGCGCGGTGGCGAGGTCTGTAGTCGCTGGGTCCATTGTCGGTCGTCGGGTCTCCAGGACGTATTCATCGAGTGCGTTGACGTGCACCCCATTCTCCACGCTCTTCAGATGGTTGACTAGCCGATCTGTGCCTGCAATTCCCGCGCTCACCCTTTATAAATACAAATGAGTGCAGTAGTGTTAGGGATGTTGAGGGCACTTACAAAGTTCTGCGTGGTCGTCCACCGGAATCCATCCATCCGATATACATGAAGATCTCTGTCTCCGTCTCCTCAGACCATTTGTCTACGGCCACTCGCGCGGTATATCGCAGACGCGCTTGACGTCTGCAGACGTGAAGATTCAGTTCACCGAAGCCACCTTAGAGTCGCGACTTACTGGTCCAGGGTCTCGACCTTGCTCAGATCGTCATCATCGCTGTCGTCCGCGTCCGACTCCAGCTGCGCTGCAGCATCCATTGCTGCATTGGCTGCATCAGCCTCTGCCTTCGATTGAGCAGCGAGTACCTCGTAGTGTGCCCATTTATCCGGTTCCTCTGCCTTCATGCGCTCAATTGCACGCGTGATGGCGAGGTTAGATGTCGTGGTCTGCTCGCCGAAAGACAGGCCCGCCTGCCTGGCCTCGGCTTTGGCTTGGGTCCCGAAGTGGGGGTAGTCGTGAATGAAGAGGCCGCGAGCACTCTTCGCGTTTTGCCGCGCTGCCTGAGGCTTGACAGGCTGAGGAAGAGGGATAGGGAGGAGGTCGAGAGGTCCGGACTTCCGCTTGTCGAACCAAGGCTTGTTATTCTCTATCCACTTCTTAATGCTCTAACGAGACATCTTCACTGCCATCCTGGGTGTCGGAAGAGTGAGACATACCTTGAGTCGTCCGGTAGCTCGTTTCGTGTACTCCTCATCGTTCTCCAAACGCAACCTTCCCTTCTTGAGGACGAGGCCACGTACATTGATGTCGAACTGCGCCTCAAACGCAGTCGCAACGTCGGTCGCCATCTGTTTGAAGCTCTGTTTTGGGCCAGCATCCTTCCAAGCTTTGAGGGTCTCGTTGACCAGCCACGTATGTTGGTTGATATTGTCCGGAGGGTGGATGACACAGTTCCGACACGCCGGGGCGGCGTCTGCCTGCGACATCACAAGGACGACAGTGGTAGCCAAAGGGAGCTGAAGGAGAGGTGGAATTGCAAGCGAACAGGGCTCATGCCGCCACAATTTATGAGGCGTGCCAGACTGACCACCGGGCTCGGATCTAAGCCAAACAGGGTGTAAGCCACACAACATGAACGACAAAGCGACTTAGCGAGATAGCGATGGTCAAAGCGTTGATCACATCGTGCCACACATTGAGGCATACCAGCCACAACGTCTTCCGAACGCAAAGAGTATATTGAAATTGTCCACCAGCTACACGGCTAAGACGGGACTATGCTACACAGAGACTGACGGAGAGACATATTGCACAGGCGGGGAGGGGAGACGATGATATTGCTTCGTGAAAGTGTGGACGTAGAATTGAATGGCACGCTCCTCGACGTTGTTGAAGGTCTCCTCGTCGTCGCACTCTGCTGTCGTTGTCGTGTTCACGCGCAGCGACTCTGGAAAATCGAGCCCATTCAGTGGAAAACCTCGCTGTTAACGGTACAGCCGGAGTGCATTTCGACCGTTGCAAACGGTAGAGCCGCCTCCGGCCGGAGTAGTCCGGGTCTACCGTTAGCAACAATGCACCGCTTGCAACAGGCCAGCCGGGCTTTTGGCCGGGGTAATGTACCTGTTGTAAACAGTCCGGCTGGATAGGCAACGGTCCGGCCGGACCCATACAACATCACTGCAAACAGGCCGGGTGGAGGGCAGGGTTAGCACATGCAACAGAGCGGCCGGCCGGTCCACGTTGCAAACAGAGCGGCCGGACTCAGGCCCCACCACTTCAAATGTTCCGGCCAGGATAAAATCCCTTCATTGCAAGCGGACCGGCCGGAGTGAAGTCTATCTGGTCCAGAATGGGTTGGCCAGCCTAAACAAACTGACTCCACGAACAGGCCGGCCGGGCAGGAGTTGTCCTGCTTCAAACGGTCCGGCCGGTCACAGCCCCCTGGGGGCTATTGAAATACTATATGTATTATGCACCTATGGGGTATACCATCATTAGTAGATCACAGCATAATTTTCCCATGACTTAGGGATGCCTAGTGAAGCTGCAAAACACAAAACAGCCCCACTGGCTGGCCAAATTAACTGGCCAGAGATTTCACTCACCCAGGTTTTTGCTTTACTGGCCATAAAATTAGCCAGGTTGTCCCTACAGGGCCAAATCAATAGGCCGGACATTTCAAAACATTGGCCGGGCATTTTAGTTCATTGGCCGAAGCTTTTAATTCACTGGCCGAAGCTTTTACTTCATTGGCCAAAGCTTTTACTTCATTGGCCGAAGCTTTTCTTCACCGGCCGAAGCTTTGGATTGACCGGCCGAAGCTTCTACTTCACCGGCCGGCAAAAACAGCCGGTGCTCGGCACAAAATGGCCGGCTGGTGGGCAAAATGGCCGGCCGGTGGGCAAAACCGGCCGGGCTGTTGAATTACTATATGTGGAAATGTGGTATTGTCTGGAAGCCCTTCATTCATAGAGTCTAGTATTGATTTCCTACTGTCCAAAGGTACATAGTTAGGCCAGGATATGCGAGACAAGATTTACTCACAGGCTTCTTTGCAAAACATGTTATTCAACTGCTGAAGCCAATATTCTTTGCCCACACTGTTTGACTATCTAGAATGTGTTATTTCAATGCATAGAGTAGATTCCCAAAAGGAATAGTCTTATTCTTCAAAGCTGAATGCAGAACATGAGATAAGGGGTAAGGTATAGTATACATGTCAAACAATGTTGACTTCCTGCAGCCAATCTACATTCCAAACACAGTTTCACAATCTAGAATGGTTCATTTACACATAAGGAGTGAGTCGTCCAAAGGAATAGTCTTATTCACATGAGCTGAATGTGGTACAGAGTTAAGGGGATCATGCACAGGCCGGACCATCTCCTATGAGGATTGGCCGGCCGGACCATTACCAACAGTGGGTAGATGTTTCTGTGCCATTCTTGATTGCCAAACCTTGTGGGCAAAGCATATTGGCTTCAGGATGTGAACACAGTATAACATGTATACCCATATACCCACCCTCACCTTAACTCTGTGCTGCCTTCAGCTTGTGTGAATAAGACTATTCCTTTGGAGGATTAATTCCTTGTGGGTCAATGAACTATTCTAGATGGTAAAACACTGTTTGGAAAGAACATTAGCTGCAGGAAGTCAACATGTATACCATACCTGTATACCCCTTATTTGTTGTCCTGCATTCAGCTTCAAAGAATAAGACTATTACTTTTGGGGATCTACTCTATGCATTGTGATAACACATTCTAGATTGTCAAACAGTGTGGGCAAAGAATATTGGCTTCAGGAATTGAATAACATGTTTTGCAAAGAAGCCTGTGAGTAGTAAATCTTGTCTTGCATATCCTGGCCTAACTATGTGTTCTTGAAAACTAGGAAATTGATACTAGACTCTGCGAATGAAGGGCTCCCAGACAATACCACATTTCCACATATAGTAACTCAACAGCCCAGCCGGTTTTGCCCACCGGCCGGCCAATTTTGCCCACCGGCCGGCCATTTTTTGCCGAGCACCGGCTGTTTTCGCCGGCCGGTGAAGTAGAAGCTTCGGCCGGTCAATCCAAAGCTTCGGCCGGTGAAGAAAAGCTTCGGCCAATGAAGTGAAAGCTTCGGCCAGTGAGAAAAAGCTTTGGCCAGTGAGAAAAAGCTTCGGTCAATGAATAAAAAGCTTCGGCCAATGAATTAAAAGCTTCGGCCAATGAACTAAAATGCCCGGCCGATGTTTTGAGATGTCCGGCCATTTAATTTGGCTGGTGGCAGCTTCACTAAGCCCCTTTAAAATGTGGGAACACTATGTTGGGCTCCATTAGTGATGGTCTTACATATACAATCATTCAAATCACACTCTGTATCATAATACAATAGGCCGAAGGTTTTTGAATGCTCTCGGCCAGTGTTTGCATGGCTGGCCAGTGAGCTAACAGCTCAGGCAATGTGATAGGGCATGCACTGTGGACATATAATACATGCTACTAGTAGGCTGTTCTAAGGGAGTATGGTCTATTGTTGACTGGCCCAGCCAATACTGGGTCACGATACTGTTGCCCGGCCGGACCGTTACCAATGGATGGTGCCACTGCCCGGCCGGACCGTTACCAGTGTGGAGTGCTAGATTATATGGCCTGGCTAGCCTGCTATCAATGTGGAAAAATGGTCCGGCCGCTCCGTTGCCAGCTAGAGATGATGCAACCCGGCCGGTCTGTTATTAGCCAGGGAGCATGTGCTCCGGCTGGCCCATTGCAACTGGTGAACTATGCACTCCGGCCGGCCCATTACAGGCCCATTACAAATGAAGGATCCCATTTCCCGGCCGGTTCGTTACCATAGGAGAAAGAGTATCCCGGTTGATCTGTTACAATTAAAGCCCCTTATTTCCCGGCCGGTCCGTTGCCAGCAAGACACTAAATGGCCCCCCTGTTCAGACAGAAAATAGGTGCCCTAGGGATACACCGGCCGGACCGCTTGAACTGGTTTGAGATACGCTCGGCCGGCTTGTTTGAAACCAGTCCGGCCGGCCTGTTTGCAACGAGGAAATCACAGCTCCGGCCGGAGGCGGCTCTACCGTTTGCAACGGTCGAAATGCACTCCGGCTGTACCGTTAGTATCGAGTAGGTACCACTGAATAATGTGGAAAATCCGGCCATGCACTCAGGACGTACAGGAAGGCCTGCAGGTTCGCACGACGTGCCTTCCAACCTTCTTGACCAGCCGGAGTCCAGCAGAAAAATGGTGAGCCAACATCAACAACGGACAACGCAGACTGAAGGGCAGAACCCCGCCAGACGTTGGCCAACTGCTGTTCTCGCTCCCAATGGCGGAATGAGTTGCCAGTGAGGTCGACGAGGCGAGTATCGAGCGCGCGAAGCTCACATTGCCAGTTGGTTTCGAATAGCTCCCATACGACGAGGTTGAGCAAGGAAGGGTCGCTACGGGCTACATCGACGGACACCTCCAGGCCACGATAGCTGGTCGCCTCGCTCTCGCGATATGACAGCAGGGACCCCCTTGGGCGAACAGGCCGCGGACCCCCTGTCGTCGTTCCAATCGGATGGTCTCCTGTCTCTTCTGGGGCACTACACCACCTGCTTGGTTTTCCTCCACGATGTTCCCTTCCTCCACTTCTCCCACTTCGCCTGTGTCCGCTGGCTCGCCATGGATTGCGCTCACCCGGTCGTCATCGTCCACGCGATAGTCCCCAAACAACGCATGTCGCCAGTCGGCGATGCGCAAAGGGGCTCCGTTGATACGAGAGTCGACCAGTCGGAGTCTGCAGAACTTGCGAATGCGGACGAAGTTGTGCAGGTAGCGCGTTTTGTGGTTCTGGGCCTCGAGGATGAGGAACGGAGGAGGGTAATAATACTCTAAGGCGACCGGCGGTGGAAAGGCCAGAGGTGGTGCACTCGACAGAGCGGCTCGCCAATTCGGACTCATCGTGACGACACCTTCCGGGGGGCGCTTGAAGGTCGTCGCGGCGTGTTCCTTCTGCGGTTTTGCCCCCCCGCGTTTGCTCCGACCTCGCTTCCCCCTTTTAGTGGCATTACGCCCAGCGTGGGGTTTCTGTGGCGGCGGCAGCAGCGGCACAGCGGCATCGTTCCCCTTGAATCGCTTGGCCTCGGCCTCCGCGCCCTCTGCTCGGCTCACCGCCTGGAGATGAGGAAGCGCAGAAGAGCACGTCATGTTACATACAAACACCACAGAGGGGTGCGTCCAGCGTCCGGGATCCTGGTGAGTGCCGTCGGGGTCGTACCATGATTTTGGGACCCGCGGCCAAGCGGGTGTATCGTTAAGTATGTTGGACCAATGACGCGGGCTGACGACCTGTGCAATCTTCATAACACGCGACCACGGCCGGATGTGCCAGAAGGGTAGGCCGAGGCGATAGAATAGTTGGGCGGCAGCATCAGTGCGCACGAACGCCCCGAGCACTGGAAGAACCCAAGGATGATGAGAAATCGGACTAGCCATACGAATAACAACTTCGTTGTAGAAGACGGTCAGCCCGCTCAACTCCAGGATAAGGCGGTGGGCCATGCGACCCGTTACCAAGGCGTGCTGTTCGGTGGTCGGGAGCATTCGAAGGCGGTCGACAGCGTTCCTCAGCAGGATAGATAACATCTTGCCGAGTCTGTGGTGTATACCGGACTCCCGGTTGAACAGGAGGGCGTCTCGCTTCATGGTATTTCGCTCAGCGGCATCGTACCTCTGGAGAACGTCGGTCGCGATGGAGTACAACTCATTGAGGACCTCGGGCTTCAGAAACCCGAAGCCAGGAACACCGCACGAAATAGACTCTTCCCAGGGACTGTACCCGAAGCCTTCGTATACCTGTGCTCCGGGCGCGAACTCGGCGTCGGAAGTAGGGATACAGGCATGATGGAGACACCGCTCGTTATACAACTGCGGCCAGCGCGTGTACTCCTGTGGTCCCCAGAGCCCATCGCTGTACGTTATAATCTCTTGCGCGCTGATACGGGGGAATTGAGGGACCCAGTCGAGAAAGGGCGAGGTGAAGATGTTGCACTGGTCTTCGGCATCCGCGGCACACTTGACGTCGAAGGCGGTTGTCGCGCCATACCACTCTACGGCAGTCCAACAGAGTCAGTCTTGATCAAGACGACAACACGGGTTGTACCCACTGTAGCCGGGCGTGGCACTGAGCTCAAAAGCTGTAGTCTGTACCACGCGATGCAAGTTCGCGTCGGCCATATTTCTGGGGCCAGACGCTGTTAGCTCGATTGGACCCCAGAAAGCGCACTGTCTCTCATACCTGACTTCGAACGCGGCGCAATAGTAGCCCTACGTGAGTACAGGCGGCACATTGGGAGAGTTAGGCACTGCAACAGGATTGGCACTGTGTTGTGGCATTCAAGGGCATTGAGACGTACAATCGCAAGTTCGTGAGATATGAAACAAGTTTCGGGCTCAGTCGGAGTCGACGCGACGATGATACGCGTATGGGAGTGAGCAAGGCTTTGAGGCTTTGAGCTTGAGGATCGAAGGACGGGCGCGAGACTGCCGGACAGCAGATATACTGCGCCCTGGCCAGGTTCGCGCAGGAAGATCAGGATCTTCCTGTGCCGCAGAACCAGCCTCTATAGGTCCGAGCGAGAGAGGAGCGAAGCAGAGCGGGAGAGAAGTGGGAATGCCGAAGTGCTGGGAGTGGGATATGGCAGCGTAGTGGCAGAGGAAGCGCTCGCTCGACGCGCTGAGGTCGCCCAGTCGCTGGGCGTTTACCATAGCTGGCAAGTCACTTGGACTTGACTTGTACGCTCCTCTCCTCCTCATTAAGCTTCCCGTGCCCACCTCTCACCTTAGCTCAATTTGGTCCCGGCCGCCTCTGTCTCTCCTCCTCCGTTGTGGCTCCTTGTCGGGCACCCGAGTGTCCGTGTTGGTCTTGACCATGCGTTGATGCTCGGGGAGGTCGCTCCTGTTCCCGATGAGCAGTTGAGCGCACCTCAAGCGCACCTCACGTAATCCCACCCATCCGTCCGGCAACCCAAGGAAGTCGATTCAAACTTTGCGAGGAACTAAGTCTGAGGGAGGCGCGCTTCCTGACGATCCGCGGCGGAGAAGATCCTCGAGACCAGCTCTGCGGGCCGTGTAGTCCTTCAAAGGATGTGAAGATGCTCCTGTGGAGTTTCAATGGGTGCGTTTTCATGACGTGCATTTCATCCCTTAGCAACTCACCTGTGTCCTTCTAGCACATATGCTGCAGCGCGGGTCGCAGCACGTCGATCCCACCTCCCCCGGCAGACTCGTCCTGCTGAAGCCCATCATTCTTTACCAGACCACCGTACACGTCCCCCTACTCCTTGCGAACCGAGCGCAAGCAGTTGCCCGAACGCGCACCTGTCCAAGTAAGTAGGTTGCTTGCGGTCTTCTCCAAGTGCAGCTTCACGGACCCGTACAGCTTCCACGCACGTCGGAACGCATGAACACTTGACACCTGAGCCTCCACGATACCGATCCTTATAACACTTGACACCTGGGCCTCGACGATACCTCAGTCCTCGTCTATCGCCCTCGATGGATGCTCGTTCATACCCATGTCATTCAGCATTCAACGAACACCCTCTCCCGCACAGTCCTTGTAGCGCCACGATCTCCTGCATCTCCTTACACCTCGCCCAGGCATCGTCCTTACAACACGATGTGTACACGTGTATCGAGACGTCTCTATCTATTGTTTTTGTCTCGCTTTGCTCGGCCCTCGCGGTTCGCGCCTTGGTCGGCGCATGGTGATGTGAGTGGCCCGCGGTCGTGCTTTGTCCCAGTGGCGCGAGTGGCCGATCATAGCGATGCTTGGGGGTGTGCTTCGCACAATGGCATTGTCATGACGTTCTCGCCACCTTGACCGACGCAACATAGCTGCCCGACAACCCTGTCTTACTCTCGCCCTCATTCCCTTTGGTTGTCTCTTCCCGTCTCGGTGACACGCAGGATGCCTAAGAACAAACGCAAGAAAGTAGATCGCTACGACTATGTCGACGATGGTGGCGAGTTAATTCCTGATGGGCCACAAACTATTCGCGTCGACGCAGCTGGCACCGAGACCGTTGAGTATTGGTCCCCCGCCCGACGTCCTGAGAAGCATCGCAGCGCCACCACTTGTCCACCCGGCGCCGTTCTTCCGTCTCTGCTGGACACCTTGGCGGACGTAGAGGCCCATGGTATTCCACCGCCCGACGTACCTGAGGCGGACAATGTGGGGGGCGAGAGCGCAGAGGCTAAGCGGGAACGAACGGTAAGCCATGGGCGGTAACACACGCGACGCGTTCTGTGGACTCACATTCAATGCAGAAGCCCCATGATATCATGCATGCTTTTGTCACTCAATGGGCGCAAAAGCTCCTCGACGTACTGCGCAAACGCGAGACCGACGTCGGGAAGTCGTGCCACACGTGCCAAGAACCCCACGCTTCATTCCGTTGCACGGAATGCTTCAATGGCCCGCTCCTCTGTCGCAAGTGCGTCGTCGAAGCGCACACTTGGACACCTCTGCACCGCGTGGAACGATGGACAGGAACGTTCTTCGAGCGTGCGCAACTCAGCGATCTCGGCCTCGTCTTCTCTATTGGACACCACGGGCGCCCGTGCCCCTCATCATCGCACAACCGTACGAGAAAACTCACGGTAGTACACACGACCGGCGTTCAATCCATGGTCGTCCAGTATTGTGAATGCATCCACGACGGCAAGTTCCCCGATGACCGACCTGTTCAACTATGGAGTGCCGGTTTGTGGCCAGCTGTGGTGTCCCTTAGTCCTCGTGCCCGGTATGCGCTGTATCCAGTCTCTATTCAGAGGAACTGTCTACACTTGCATACATGGGGCGATGAGGATGGTAAAGGACTGAGGTCTCGTAGGTGCACAGGCGCGCCATACGAGCCCTCAGGCAAACAATGACAAACATACAAGACGAGAAATACCGTAACGGGAATATCCGTTACACCCTCCCCCACTGGACACGACCACGGGTCCCAGCGATAACCAGAGAAACAGATAGAAAAAAGGAAAAAGAAAGGAAACACACGCAACAACCCAACGGTGGTAGCGAGTGGCAAAACAAAGATGATGTTGAACTGTAGACAACGACATGCTAGATCGTGTCAGTGAGCAGACACAACCATTCACCATTGTCATACATAACTTGATGGAGTTATGCAACCAGGAACGTAGACTACTACTCGGACTTGGAGTAGTAGTCTGCGTCTTCCGAGTTACCCTCATCTTCGGCAGATAGTGCAGAAGAACTCTGGATATCCTCCATCTCAGACTGCTCGTAGTAGTCAGAGACTACTACCGAGTTTGTCTCTTCAGACCCTGAACTTCGTGAGTACCACGAGCTATGGTGCTCGGACTCGGAGAAGTACTCCGACTCAATCTGGTCAGGGTACTCCTCACGAGTGGTGGTATGAGGCTCCTCATCAGAGGAGTTATACCAGTCAGAGTCATCCCAAGGTTGACTGCGAGGTGGTACAACAAGCCATCCCAGCTTGTTGTAGGCCCAATATCGCACCATCTCCATAGGTAATGGTGCAATGAGCAGAGGATCAAACTCGAGAGGAACCACTTCCAATTCCCTCTGGAAGTGGTCCCATGCTCGACGAGCAGCACGAGAATATGTCCCCGGTCGCGGGGACATCTCCTCGATGGCCTGTCCACAGCTGAGTGCAGATCTCTTGCAGTGAGCCCAAATGGCCCACTCGCCATCACTCGCCGCGGATTCGGCCTCGTCGAAATCGTGGTCGAGCTGGTCCGCGAGGAGGCTGAAACACAACTTGCGCAACACCTCATCCGTGGGCCATTGACTCACGTCGACGATTACTGGACAATCCGGTGTGCATGCTCGGTTCAAGACTGGTACTTCGCGGCACGAAGTACCGGCTTCCCGAGTGGCGTTGTGGCCACGATGGTCACTACTAGTACCCTCCACGTCGAGTCGATCACTCGACACTCGCGGTACTAGTACGGGTAGTACCTGTCTCGATGTTTGACATGAGGCCTCTTCGCGCAACATACTGGTGGCAGTGTGAGATAGGCGGCGGCCACTCAAGGCCCCGCTCCCTTCCCCTCTCAGGAGAGTACCCCCCTCGTGGAGGAGGTAGCTCCTCCCTGTGCTCGCGCCAGCTCGGTCTCAGTACCATTAGTAGCAGTCGAACGTCGCCGTTCGCCTGAGTCCAATGATTCCAGCCCTCGCGCTGGCTGTGCCTTCTTACGGGCGCGCGACGACGCCCTGGTCATCGCGTCATTCGATGCGGGCGCATCACCTGGTAAACTGGATGTGCCTGCCACACCATACGGCATGAGTATTTGCACCCGCGAGGACGAGGGTTCGTCCTCGCCAAGTGTCTCCACTACTGGAGTTATTGACGTCGACTTGTCAGTCGACGTCAATCCAGTCGACTGACCCGGGTCCGAGGAAGGAGACGGCACATTCGTCTTGGATGTGCTCGGCGGTGGGTCCCGGTCTTGTTCGTTGGATGTGCCAAGTACCTCGCGGTACTTGGTGTAGTGTTCGTCGCCGTAAGCCGCGACCAGTCCACGTTGGTCTTCGAGGTGCTGCCAGTGGGCGCGACGTGCAGGTGGCATGTAGCGTCCCGACGGTCGCCATCCGGGCTCGGGTGCAGCCTGTCGCACATCTACCTTTGTAGATGTTTCGGTCGACTGCTCGCGATCCACGGGATCTGGCCTGCCCATTTTTTCGTTAAGGCTCGTTTCAGTGTCGCCCAGCGGTGGCACTGTAATGGGAGAAGGTGGGTGGGCGAGTACCTCGCAGTACTCGCCCTGGTCAGTCAGACGATCGTGTCCGCCTGCAGCATCCTCTGCATCGAAGGTAGTGCTCGATGGCGGTGCCGCACCAGACGTGGATAGGTGGGACGCGTCAGTAATGCGTGTATGCACTCCGGACGCGCCGCCGTGCGTGGCCACAGATACGACTAGTATGTCGTTCTGTGGTGTGAATGGACCACTGTCCATTGCGACGACCTTCAGGGTGGTCGCAATCGGCGCGAGCAGTGGTACGGAAGCGGGTGACGGCGGTCGCGATGCGAGTACTGAAGTGTACTCGCTCTTCGGGTCACTGGCGAGCTCAGAAATGCTGGCGTCGAGCGTAAGGCTCGACGTCATTGGTGGTATCGGGATGGAAGATGGTGACGGCGAGGTGAGTACCGTGAGGTACTCGTTGTTGAGCTCACCGCCGAGCTCCTCCGCGTATGCATCGCACGGTATGCCCGACGTCCGCATAGGAGCTACCAGGACGTTGGGTGCGTCGATCGAGCTCGCCGGCTCGCCGGTCATACCGCCATGCCTGACCATGCCGGGTACGACCTGTAGGTCGTCCCCTGGGCTGACTGTACCACTGTCGTATGCGGTGACTGTCACGACAACCGCCTCGGTTGTCGTGGTCGTCACGGGCGGTGATAATGGGATAGGAGATGGTGGTAGGGGCAGGGGGGTACGTCTCTCGCAGACGTACCTGTCGTCGAGCTATCCCACTCGACTCGCACACCTTCTGTGCTTGCCCTGCACCCTTCCCCCTCTCCTCCTTCTGCCTGACCCTCCTCATCTACCTCTCGCGCTTCCTCGCCCTCACTCATATCGCCCTCGTCCCGCCCTGACCGTCATTCGGTCCTACGCGCGTCCCCCAGGGTTCGCGTGCGATCTCCGACTCGTGGTGCCCGTCGTAGTCGCCATGGGTGTCGGAAACCATGGAGAAGTCGATGGAACGTTGGGTGGGGTTCCCTAGGAGCGAGCCCTCGGCGAGAACTGTAAAGTTCTCGCCGGGTTGACGGTCGGGACACCGGTCTGGCGTATCGGGTTTCGTAAGCGCCGGCCGCTGCACTACCGGCAGTGCGGCAGTCGGGTCGCGAGCTCGAGCTCGCGCGTTCTTCAGGAGTACGCGATCGTCGGGCTGCGCGCTCGTCGGGGCGCCGGGGTCGCGGAGAGAGTGGTTGCTGGAGAAGTCGAGGTCGAGATCGGGGCTTGCCAGCTCAACCGCACAGGGTTCGGCTGTCTTTAAGCCCGAGACGGAGACTTGCACGCCCTGGAGGATGTGCAGGTTCTCCTGGGAGGCGTCCGCGCGGAATTGATGACCATCGGAGGTGATAACGAGTCCGTCCGGAGGGCCTGCCAGTTGAACCGCAGGCGGTTCATCTGTGCAGGTGCGAACTACTTGTGCTCGCCAAGGGACGGTCCGAGCCTCTCGCAGCGAGGCCATACGCGGCGGTCGGCCTTCCAAAGATCTTGTGGAGTCGAGCGCGTCGCCAAATGGGTCGCCGGGGTCGTCCCATGGCTTGGCCAACTGAACCACAGAGGATTCAGCTGCGTCGGAGCAGCCAGAGACCTGCACTTCCTCACGGAAGTGCGATCCATCTTGGGACGCCGATGTTAGCGCGATGCTACTGTCCGACAAGGAGTCAGTGAACACCGCGTCACAGCCAGTCGAGGTTAAATGGAACACCTCGGACCTGCATCGCTGCTGGTCCGTTGTACCGCCTTGCGAGATGGAAGGTACGACCTCGCGGTCGTCCACTAGTACAGGTGCACCACTTTGCAGTGCGGACGGTACAACCATTGGGTCGTCTCGTAATTCGAACGTGCCATCTTCATGGTCACTCGTGATCATGGGAGCAGCGATGAAGAGACGGTGGCCCGACGAGTCGCGGGCGATGCTCTCGGCGGGCTCCCTGTTCGTCGTCACACTCACTGGTGTGGACGCCCTGGCAGGCGCGGACCTGGCATGTGTCAAAGTGAGTACGTTCCTCCGGGACGTATCCTCACTTTTCGACCCTTCGTGCCGGTCAATAGCGTGCACATCGAGTAGTAGATTCGGTGTGTGCGCTATGAAGCGGTCGTTGTTACCGGAACAGAGCACGTCAAACGCGAAGTGCTGCGTCTCCATCGCGCAGCCTTGCGAACTGGAGGGTACGACCTCGCGGTCGTCCCCTAACGCAAGTGTGCGGCCTTGCGGATCGGAAGACACGACCAACAGGTCGTCCTGCAGCGCGGATCTGCCGTCCTCATGGCCAGCCGCGCGCTCGGTGACCTTCACGTTCTTTCGCTGCACTTGCTGGTGCGGGCACGGCCAAGAGGATAGGTATCGAGGTGGATACGTCCGCCTGGGGCGTATCCGCTACTCGATAGCCAGTCATGGACTGGTGGGGCACGTCGGCGTGCAGTACTGCGCGTCCGTCGTATCGCCTTGCAGGGTGAAAGGTCCGGGTACGACCTCAGGGTCATAACGCAGCACCCGTGGGACATCCGGTTACGACTTCGCAGTCGTACCTGAGGGCAGTAGTGCCATAGTCGTGGCCAGTAGTGCGCACGACGAGCCTTGAGTTCGTCGGTACGCCTACTGGCGCAGGTACAGAGGGTATGGAGGGTACGACCTGGAGGTCGTCCCGCAGCACAGACGTGCTGCCACACGGAACATCAGGTACGACTTCGCAGTCGTACCTGGGGACGTGGTTGCCCTCTCGTGGCTAGCAGGATGCACGACGAGCTTCTCGTTTGTCGCTACGCCTGCTAGCGCGGGCACGGGAAGCGGGGGGCTGCGATGCAGGAACGTACAGTGAGTACGTACCTGTGGTAGTCGAGCCTTCGGGCTCGTGCTTCCTGCTCGCCCCGCACCCTTCCTCCCTCTGTCCCTTTGTTCTCCTTCTCCTCGCTATCGCTCCCCGTCTCCCTGTCCTCTTTCTGCTCTCCTCGCTCCGCGTCCTTCGTGGTCCGCTCGGTCCTGCTACTCGGCGCGGGACTTGAACGCGCATCGTTCAAGTCCTGGATCACGCGGCTGCGTTGCGTGTCGCCAGAGCCGCGGTAGGGGTCGAGGCGCGAGACGAGAGGGGAGAGTCGAGGATCCGGGGAGGAAGGAGGTGGTGATCTGGTACCGTGAAGTACCAGGTCGTCGGTCGCCACTGACTGGACTGGCGGCAAGTCAGACAGCCATTCGCGAACGCGAGTTCGCACTCGCGTTGGGGCCCCGCGCGCGTCTGGTTCGCCAGACGGGCGCTCGAGGTGGCTGCCCAGAGAGTGGGAGTGGTCGAGGACGTGGAGTCGGTGGTGGCGGTCGAGCGCAGTGCGGTGGGCGCTAGCACTCAGGCCGCTCGCCACGGACCCGTGACGCTCGACGCCCGTAGGGTCGAGCGCGTCGCGCGTCGCGTCGAGCAAGCTGCTCGACAAGGCTCGCACGTCATTCGACAACGAATATATGCTTTTTGTGTCGCGGCTCATCTCTGAGCACGCGACGGGCGTATCTACACGCGTGGGCTCGTTCCCACTGCACACAGTACTACTGTAGTACTGTGTGCCTATGCCCTCCCGTGTGCTAATGCGAGTCAGCTCCTGGCGCTGCTCGTTCACTCCGGGCACGAGCTCGACTACGGCTACGTCGTCGAGCTCGGCGCGCTCACCACTCCTCCGAGTGGTGCCGAACTTCATCGGTTGGCTGGTAGCAGGCGGAGAATCAGTCTCCGGGCGGCTCTGAGCGAGCTCGACGTTGGGCTCGAGCTGCTCAGCGCGCGGTGCCTGTTCGACCTCACGGTCGGACGGCGCCTGCTCTGTGAGTGCTCCGGCTGAGTCCTCGCGGTGAGAGGACTCAGTCCGGGTGGTCTTCGTGCGAGAAGACCGACTGCGGCTGCTGGCCTCGGACAGTGCGGCGTCGACCGTTGCCAGCAGGTCGGCCTCGAGTTGCTTGGATTCCTCGAGGGCTTTGTTGATCCGCTCTTGACTTGCGGCGAGCTTCGCTCGGACTTCCTCGCGCAACGCCTTCAGCTTGCTGCGGGTCCCACTGTGGGACCCGCGGCTGCTTCGCGAAGGTGCGGACGGGGTGTGGTCGACTCGGACATCTTGTCGAGTTGTCGAGTTGGCCAGAATGATCAAATAGCATAGAGTTGTTGACGTCGATAGGTAGATATCGAAGTCGAGTTTCGAGGTTGTTGC